ATGAACTCGAACATGGCGCAAGGCCAAACCGCCAAATATGCTAGGTGAACACAGATCTATCGCCTTCCTGAAGCAAACAATTGCCAAATGGATGGGCGGAGCTCACAAACAGGCAGTCGCCTACCATGTCAAACCCGGCTAAGATATGATATCAGAGGTGGTGTCGACGGCTATGCTTGATGATTTATATGACAATATTGTAGGCTTATTCTCTGCAGTAGGTGGACTAACTCATGAAATGTCAATCGGAATTCCGAAATGCGTTTTCGTTCCGAAAGGATTAATTAAGTAGGCTTGTAAAACTACTCAGTCTGCAATATAATTCTATAATTGTTCAGTTACCTCAGGATGCCGGCTTTCGAATGAACTGCTGTCCGGCTGCATGCAAAAACTACACTCTGTAAAAAATGACTATTTCAGTAGCATGAATTTTTCTCATTGATTTTCGATGCTCTTGAAAATTCAATTATAGTTCATGGAAAACATGCAAAAAATACTCATTCTTTTGCTCATTCGGTAGATAATTGCGTCTTCTACTTCGATGCTTGAAGGAGGGACATAACTCGGTTTTAAAAAATTTTCTAATTGTGAGAATTTTAAATACCCTGAAATGGCCGTTCATAGATCGTCATGTCTCTACATTTACCAATGTGGCATGTAAAGTTGACAAGATGGATCGAATCCACTGCTAAATTTTATGAACCCTATATAGTTCCCCTTTATTGCCGTAGAGAAATGTATGGTTTTGGAAAACCCTGAATCGAAATGTAACGGTAGAGCGGGTTCAAATTTATTGGGGAATTGGAAAAGTTTTTGAAAACCGAATAGTACCCTTCCTTCGAGTATGAGATTGGAAGAAGAAGAAGAAGAAGAAGAAGAAGAAGAAGAAAAAGAAGATGAAGAAGAAGAAGAAGAAGAAGAAGAAGAAGTACTTTTCTACCGAATGAGAGAAAGAGTGAATATTTTTATGTATGTTTTCCGTAAAATGCAGTTGGATCTCAAAGGACATCGAAAATCAATGTGCAAAATTCATGCTACTGAAGTAGCCATTTTTTACAGAGTGTAGTTTTTGTATGCAGTCGGAAGGAAGTTCATTCGAAAGCAAGCACGCTGAGGTAACTGAAATATTATAGAATTATGTTGCAGGCTGACTAGGTTTATAGCCCTGCTTAATTGACCTTTTCGAAACGAAAACGCATTTTGGAATGTCGGTTGACATTTCATGAGCTAGCCCACCTACTGTACGGATTCAGCAAAATATGACTCTGGCTACCGTTCGGGAGCAGAGACGCAAACGTCACCGAGTTCGGCATGACAGGTGGTCAACTCTCACACTCATTCGAAGTTTATTGTTTCGGGGAGCCAATGGAGTAGTGTCCACCTACTCCTCTATGAACAAACACTCAAACTACAGGGGCAAATAAAACCAAATGGTCATACATCACTTCCACATCACTTTCGAGTTAGTGTTTATGACCGGTCTGGTAGACCTGGCCTGCGAACTAACCCCACTGTGTACGTTTTTAGTCCCAGGTGGCGACTAGGGGTATGATGGACTGGAAGACGGCCAGATAAGCCCAAAACAGCATTGAATCAATCTACCCGCATCTTTGTCAATGCATCGTCTGATTTCAATATTTCCAACAAGCAGTCACTCGAGGGGGGGAATGTTGGCAGGAGGTTCCTTTGAGTCATCCTAAGAGTCTATGCAACCGAAGAAACGTCAGGCCTCTGTTTAAATCGCCGCCCAAGTGGGTACCAGTGAAACTGTCCTTTATTGCCGCAAATGTCAGATTCTCGGGTCGCTTTCCAAGTCGGACTTCTTGAAAATATTTGTATAGAAATGTATGCTCCTTTCTTCTTTAGAATACCCGGGCAACAGCACAATAACAATTTCTTGGGGAACGTTTTCGAATATTTTGCAGTGAAAAAAGACATAATGATGCAGTTAGTAGGCTCAGATTCAATGGCCTCTAGCCCACAAAAAGTTCGAACTCCTCGTTCGGAAAAGGGCTGTCCGGAATAGTATTCGCTGCAGTTTAGTCCGGAACATGAGGAAGATGACTGTGGAGCTCGAGGTGTCGGAGCACACGGCCATGAAAAAGGACCTGAAGGCTAAGTCAAGGGCTAGGACTAAGAAGCATCTCATTACTGGGGTTGTGAAAGAGAAGAAACTGGAAATAAGTAAGAGAACCTTCAGCTTCCTCCACAAAGGACCACACGCGGTGCCCTGCTCTGACGATGAACCATTCAGGATCGACTCAGTGTCCAGCAGTCCAACAGATCACTACATAAGTCCCCTGAAGGTCAACAAGGTATATACCTGAGAATGTTAAGTACAAGTTTCAGACTAAACATCCCACGTCAGTAGTGGTTTTTGGCCTAATTGTCTCAGACGGCAGTCGTGCTCTTGTGAAGGCCGAGGCCAAAGTGAACGCCGATGTGTACGTGGATGTTCTTCAGAGGCATTTCAAACCTTGAATAGATTCCAACTACATTCCAGACGACAGCGTGGTCCGCCAGCAAGGCGGTGCACCTCCACATACGTCACGAAAGACAGAAGTGGCTGGAGGACCACATGCCTTATATCTGGCCAAAGGATATGTGGCCCTCATCCCTACCAGACCTAAAACCCCTCGACTACAGCATTTGGGCGTAAGTCGGGGAGGCCTGCAAAAAGCCTCACAACAGCGTTGAGGCTAGAAAGTGGAACAAAATGTCACCGGAGTGCGTCAGGAACACGTGCCCCAGGTCCAGACCGAGAATCGAAGAAGTCACTGTCAATAATGGCTCTTATATTGAATAGTTCCCTTCTAATACGAATTTCGAGTAGAATACATTTGTTCCTCCAGCCACTTGTTCTTGACCTGGGTCAGGCTGTAGTTTGGACCACTCAAATTACGAAATTTACGGTCGCATACGGTAAACCTCGCTCACCTTGTCGCGATCTCTGCGCCCACCGAAATAATCTGCTCCAGCTACCATGGACGCTTATCCTTCATCTTTCCTTGAAGCCGCAAACGGATGGGTATGGAGGGTGGAAAGTCCTATTTCCAGACCCTTGGGATATGGTTTTTACTTGTGCATTGAGGGCAGCCTTTGCATTGACTCCGGAAGCAGCGAGCCAGGGATTGTGACGGTGTAGAAACCAAGCAGCACCCCGTTACTGCTCTGTTACCGTTAATGCTTGATCGACACCACTCTCCAGACAAGGTTTGACCTTCCCATGCAGTGCTTAACCCATCTGACTGCCTTAACGTGCGACCTTTAAACGACCTAGCTGGCAGAGGTTTGGGCTGTAACCTAACCGATAAATATGGAGGATGGCTGCAACTCGTAAAACATCCCTCAAAGACGACATCAGTAGCGTACGGCGGCGGTGTGCCCACGTGGGAGTGCACACCTCTGGGAAGCTAACTAGCCACTCAAGGGAAAGAAAAATTTCATTGGACTACTGGCGCAGTAGACCTGCACGTGTCACCAAAAGGTTTCTCAACCCTGAAATTGCGTTGATCGTAGACCTCCAAACCTGCATACCTTATGGAACATTTTGTTCGCTCAAAAGAGAATAGAATAAAAGGCAAACAGTAGTGCAATTATCGTACCAGTGCTTGATTCCCCCTTCCGCTTGTTAGCATCACTTCACTACCCTTCTGTGATGTTCTTTCGAGTAAGTAACTAGCAGATGTATTGTGTATCTGGTTCAAGGCTTGCATCGGGACAGTCTTCAGACGTCTCAAGTTGGAAGAATTCCCGACTCTTCCTTCTAAACGGCCACCTGTGTGTGCCTAATCGGAGTCAGATCTGGCGATGCCGTCGGCCACGGAGGATTTCGTATGACGTTAGTCTTTTTAATTATTTCAACAATCCTCCCTCAATGAGGAGTCATCTTGTCGTCCCGTAACGCAGAATTCCTCGCTCCTGCTACGACTGCTGACAGGCGTTTCCTCCGTATACGAAGCTATTTGTCACCATCAACATTTCAAGACGGAATCAAGAGTTCGCTTTTAACATTGGTGTACCTTGTCACCCTCCCCAGCATCCTGCATCAGGTGACGATTACGGTAAGTTCCACATACTTTGTTGGTTGTTCGCCGACTTTTGGTGATTCTGTTCGGCTGTTTTGGGCTGGAAGCAGACTCGTTGGTAAGAATTATTGTGCTTCATTGTACGGTAAGACGCAGGCCAGTCAAGTATTATCGATTTAACAAAGGCACACTGCTTCAGCGCCTATGTATGGGATCGAGTTCATTTAACCTTCCACTACATTTGGGCAAAGATGCTAGGGAAACGGAAACAACTAGTGCACTGTTGCAGCGTGTGAATTCGCTGGCTTGTGTAGCTCTCAACACCCGTCAATCCTCCGTATAGAAAGCATAATAATGATCCCTTTCTGGCTTTTTGCTGAACTAATTATAGAAGTCATCGTCCTAGGCTAGATGATTGGTTGACTGAAGCACGCAGACTTCAAGTGCATAGACAAGAACGTGAATAAAGTGATCTGCTTCTTCTCTGGGGGGGAGAGAGGACATGTCTAGTTACGCTGTTTAGTAGAAAACATCAACTACAAAAGAACACATGGATTAAGAGGCTTAAACGCAAGCTGCCGACTGAGCCGATGTGCTAAACAGGTTGACTGCCCAATTCTCGTGGAGAGTTAAACATAAAAGATTTCGAGCGCCGGGTTGATAAGAAAACGCCAAATTTACATGGACTGCTGAACAAAAAAAATTTACCCACCGGGAAAACACTGACATCTCGTGCTTAATGCAAGACGTGTGTGTGTTACAGGAGAAACAAGTCGGTGATACAAACGCGTGCGATGGAACCAGACCTGCAGTAGTAGCTCCACAAACATTTCAGGTAGACACAAAAAGCACTTGTGCTGAGTAGGCGCCAAACACGACTACCCAGTGAGTCCTCAAACATTCATTTCGGGCAAGTTAATCTGAATGGGCGGTAGGGGGAGGTAGGGAGGTGGGCATGTCGCCTTCCTGGAATCATTCATTGGTGCTCGCGGGTTTTTCTTCACCCTGCTCTTCAGTCTCCTTTGAAGCCGAGGCATCGCCTTCATCTCCCGTGGCAGCGTTTGCATTTTCAACCCAGAGCCCGCTATCGATACAGAGTTTCATTACTGCCTCAGCCTCGTGTGGATCCATTTTGGAGAGGGTAGTTTTTAACAGTTCCACGTCCTGGTTTTTGAAGCACTCTTGCAGTTCCTTAAACATACAAAAAACCATACTTACAACACGTCAGTAGTAATTTTTAAAAAATTCGACTGGATAAAAACTCGCGAAATAGGCATAGCGCCCTTTACCGGGGTTAGGCTTTCGAAAACCTCGAGTGGATCAAGACCGCCAGGACCGAGACGCTTCTTGCGTTCTTCCTAGAAAGACATAAGTGAAGATTATAAGAAGTTCAAGAGAAGCTGGTCAAAGGGCAGTTTGTCGTTACTGAAGCACCTACTTCTTCGTAGCGCTCCACCGCCTCCTGGACCTTGACCTCAGCACGAGCGCGAATGCGTTTGCGAAAAGCGTCCAATTCGTCGTTAAAAGCCCTCTGATATTCCGGTTCAGGGTTGATGAACCTAATAAATCGGGGAAGAATCACTTAGTCTAGAAGAAAAATCAAGTGTTCATGCCAAGTCCAACAGTGATTATAGCTTGGAACTCTCGGGAACAAATGAAAACGCAGATCATATTTTAAATATGTATAAAATTTTCTTAGACCGAAATGCTTGAACCCCTAAATGGAAAACTCCAAAAAGAGCATACGTTCGTACTAAATGACTAAAGAACATGAATTCTTGTATATCAATCCTCGTAAATATGATTTGAATTATACAAACATCACAAATTGACTAGAAATTGCATGCCCTGGATTTTTGCCATTCCCGAGCATGGTTAAACGATGGCGCACTGCAGTGCAGGATTAGAAGAGTACGGCGACCTCGCATAAGGGACTTTCGCTACTTAAAAGTATATCTAAAGACTTCAGCGGATGTTTCGTCATTTACGATGCATACTGCACTTTTGGGGAGATCCCTGGAAGCTTCAGATGTGCGATATCCCCGTGCCTGAAACAGTGTCCCGAGCGAAGCCAGGGAATCAGCTGAAACTCATAAGGACTGCGCTGATGTAAGTGGAAAACGGAGTGTTCAGTTTTGGGTCTACGTGATGGTCGCAGTAGACTGCTCACTTGCTTGCTGGTGTAGACTACGTCTGGCGTTTATTAACTAGCACTCGACTCTCACATGTTGCTCCGCGAAGTTGGGTTCTGTCTAGCACGGCCACACCCCGTCGAGCTAAACCAGGTGAGGGTATCCGTGTGTATCCCCACACACGGCAACCCTGCTCCCACTGCCCTTCCCCATCCCGTCCATAACCCCTTCATTCCCTCTTCATCTCTACTATCTACTCTGTCTACTCTCTACTCTATTTTTTTCCCACACGGTCGAAAAAACCTACAGCGAGGGCGACATGCAATCACGTAGGCGACCCAGACCAATCTCCACACGGCTCCACTCCCTCAACCGCTGGCCAGATGGATCACTGCCCCGGCATCTCCGAGGTAAGGCTCCGTAGGCAACCCCGCAGTAGGTCACGGACACTCAGCAAGCTACTGACCCAGTGGCTGGAAGACCGGTCCCTTCATACCCCTCCGCACCTGTTCTCCGCCCTTCACCCTCTCTGCTCTACTTTACCCTTACCCTGCGGTCGAAAGTCTCACGGACAACCGTATCGCCACCTCCAAGACGAGGCTTCGTCAGCGACCCCACAAGAGGCCACAAGGTAAGTGACCCCCAGAAAAGTTGAATATTGCTTTGTTGTCTTTGCTTTTTTGTCCTTGTTTGTTCATCTTTGTCTGCTTGTTTGTGCTTACCCTTGTTGTAAGCTAAAATACCGTTCTGATTAATACCGTTCTGTTGAATTTGTTTGCTCACCGTTTATATTTTAGCAATCAGTTAGCTTAGAGCGACGGATCTTTAAGGCTAGCCAAGCTTTCAGTCGTCTGCAAAACAGGTACGAAGACTCGACCACTTCCACCTCAGCTGTCTTCGATAGACAGGATCGGATCCCGGGCACGGACGTACTACAACTGACGGGAATCCTCAACATGTACGCCGTGCTGAGACAACTGCAACAGCGCTGGAACGGCCACCTCATGCGGATGGACGACGAGCGGCCACTCAGACGGCTCTTTTATGGAGATGTCGCCACAAGTACCCGCCGACAGGTCCGGTACTAAAAGAATACCCTGAAAACTTCCCTTAAGTGCCTACAAATCAACCCGGCCAACTGGGAAGACCTTGCCCGGGACCGAACGGTGTACAAGCAGGTGCGAAGACTCGACCACTTCCACCTCAGTTGTCTTCGCTAGATACTAAAGCTGAGGTGACAGGACCGGATCCAGGACACGGACGTACTACAACTTACGGGAATCCTCAACATGTACGCCATGCTGAGACAACTGCAACAGCGCTGGAACGGCCACCTAATGCGGATGGACAAAGAGCGGCCACTCAGGCGGCTCTTTTAGGGAGATGTCGCCGAGAGTTACCGACGACAAGTGCCTACAAATCAACCCGGCCAACTGGGAAGACCTGAAGGAGAGTAGTGAAGACTGGTGCATTCTTCGAAGTCAACCGCACCACCGTTGCCAAGGCTAAACACGGAGCCCGCAGATCTCAACTGCCCCCATCCCGCAACGCAAACACTCAACCTCCCCCACACCGACAATCAACACTGGCCGCACTCCTAAACCCCACAGCAATCCTCCTCCGTCGCCCCAACATCCGCTGCGCGGCTCCTGCGCCCACCACGACTGCACACAATCCTGACACACCGACAAACATCTACTTCACCACCATCAACACCAACGATGTGAACTCGGTCCATACATGTGCCCATTAAGATCGAATCCTCACCTCACACATCGGCCTGATCGATCACTTGCGCATCTATCGCACAGAGACTAGCGAACCAGTGCCTGGAGCATCAACATATACCAGACGCATTCGACTCAATTGCCAACACTGCCCTCGCATACTGAGCCACCACATGGGTCTACGGGGTCACATGCGAACTCAAGAAAGCCTGCCGTAGACAATCGTCGGCTACATCAAACCACCTCATCTTCCCCCACCAGCATCGGCACCTCTCAACACCATCACCCATCCCAAGCATCCAAACTGCCACCTCTCACGCAAAAGGGAAGTGCGCGTCTCGGTCCCTTCTCAATGCAGCTCTTCTGCTGCATGTGTGATCCGAGGCTGAGACTATCACGGCGCGTCAAGCACCGCGGCTTGGAAGGCTGCTGACTGACGCCGCAACTCAGTCCACGCAGTCCGTCCAGTTGTGTCTGTGCAATAACGGACTGGTGGGTTGAGAACTAGGCTGAAAAGGCTCCTTCTTAACGTGAACTATGGCACTCTCATACCAGTGAGATGTACGCCGCCTAACCCCCACTGTGTGAGATCCTGGTGCTTGTGTTTGGTGGGCCAGATCGTGTCTGTGGCACGCGCAGACAAGGTCACTAGCCATGTCAGCCACCGCGCCCATTCCCCTCACCTGTCAACTGACCAGCTCGGACAGTGGCCAGACCTGAGAATGGGAAGGGAGAGTCGCGTCGACGACCCAATGCATTTTCCTCACTGCAAACAACCTAACGTGCTTCAGGCTATCGCGGTGCGCTAAAAGCCGTGGCGTGGGAGGTTGCCAACTAACGAGATAACTTGGACCTCGCAGTCGGCCCAGTGTGTGTTTGTATGGAGCGGCCGATTGGTGGTCTAAGAGTCGGGCTGCAATGGCTCCTTCTTAATGTGGCCTTTAAGGTACTCCGACTCAGTAGAACACGAACCGGGTGTCGGAACGCCTAGGGACGGCTCAGGTCGTGCCAGCCACCTGCACCATCTACCACCTCTGGTCTTCTTGACTGTCTTGGCATCGGGCCCAGGGGGGGAAGAGAGTGGTAGACGCAGCGCAAGTCCACCACCACTGTAAACTAATTCACGCGCCGTGCCTGCTCTCACCTTGCCGTCGGTAACGACGGTCGAACCGTCGGATGGAAAACGTTTTTAGTGGGTGTGGCACGTCCATCGCACTATTTCTAGCAGGGCGTTGTCCCTTTCAGCAGAGAATTTCGCGATAAATCCCGAATCATGCAGGTTCTGGTCCGGTCGATATCTTTGCGCAAAAGCATGATGCCATGCTATCTGCCTTGGTGCCTAGGTTGTAGTTCGTCCGTCGCGTGAATATAGTAGATGTGTAGTCCCATGAAACGTTAAAAGAAATCCTGAAAAGTGCTTTTAGTCCGAAAACATTCATTAAGTGGGGTTTTAATGTAAACTATCGTGCAGCATAATCTTAAGATATCTCAATCGCGCCAGGATGCGGGCTTTCAAACGAGCTCCTTTCGGGCCGCCTACAAAAATTGAACCGTAAAAAATGACTGCTGAATAACATGCATTTGTTCATTCCTTTTCAGTGCCCTTATAAATTTAGACATGCTTTATAGAAAACGTGTCCCTTCTTGTATTCATGTGGTAGAAAATTACGCCTTCTTTAAATGTTACGCCCGAATAAAGGGCACTTTTCAGTTTCAAAAAAGTTTCTATTTGTGAGATCTTTTAAAATCGTGAAATTTTTCTATTCATGAAGCATCGTATCTGCACATTTATTCGTGCTTTTCTTCTAGTATACAACGGGGTCCACATTCACTGCAAAATTTTATGCGGCCTATATGATCTTTTCTTAGTAGCGTACACATATGCATGATTTTCCTTGTGCGGAAAATGCACAGCTCGTAGGCTGGAGACCCAGAATGCAAATGTAAAGGCAGGCTGGGTCCGGAATCGTTCGGGAATTGAAAAAAAAACTGAAAGACACTCTTTCTCCAAGCATACAATTTAAGGGCATAATTCACACTAAATGGGCACAAGAAAGAACATTTTCCAGCATTGGAAGATACCATACGCGGCAGCACAGGTACTGGCTAAGAGCCCAGACACGCACGTTTCGCCGATATTCCGCCGCTGCGCTACTCCATGTGCGAGGACAAAAGGGGAGTTTGGGGAATAGACTGGTAGAGTTCTCGAGTGATGCTGGTGTTTAGTGCTTCCGCTGGGGGGGGGGGTCGTTGCCACATCATACCCCGTCGAGTTTGCCGCCAATTTACGGAGTTGTTGGTGAACACAACAATGCTCTCAGCCCTATCACGAACTTAAACTTCATTTTGTGCTCGACTCGGACAGAGAAGCAAGACTGGACATCTGTGCTTAGTGCCTCCACTGGGCTGGTTTGTCTAAATCCCGCAGTTTGGACGAGGCCTTTTTTGACACGGATAGACGACGAACTTTCAAGTGCGCGCGTGCGCGCGAAAAAGCATATTCTGATCCATAAACCTTGCCGGTCCCGGAACCACTGCTATCAAAAAAACCACCAATGAAACCTTGAATTGGATTTAATGTAATTAATCTCCCTAACCGTATGACCATCACCGGAATTTAAAGTGAGCAGATGATTGCGACGCCGGAAGGAAATGTTGGCGACAGCTGGTTCTGGTCAGCGATTCTCACCATCCCTTCGCCAATCTCGCATCGAAAGTCAATTCCGAGGCGGTAAATACGGTGGCCATTTCAAGAGTCACCTGACACAGTCCGGCCATCCCAGTACCCGAAAAAAATTAGCAGATCATGTCGAGAGAGCTTTCTAATGAATTCTTGAGGATGAGAACAGAAGAGTTCGTTCTCACGCTGACAAAATGTCCCTTCATCCATGCATAAATCAACCGGCCACCAACTTATTTCCATGCAAGCAATGCGTTATTCGTCGGCTGTTAGATTACCGCGCCATGACTACCAGAGGAGTTGCGTGAGGCGTGATAAAGTGGCCGCGGACACCAGGATCTTGATTAATTTCAAGCCTATGCCGAAGATTTGGGCCCGGAACAGGCTGATAATCAGACTTTGGGCACCAGGACCGAGAAAAATTGGCATATTATAGCATCCAGTAGCAGGGATCTGTTTCCGAGGGAGCCGTTTAGTTCACATATTATCCACCTGCATCTGGTTGTCAGAGTCCAAGTGGCCCCCTCTAGCGCTTTGGCTCGAAAATCAAACTCCATGGCCGCGGTGACATGTAGACTCATTTCCTGGTTGTCGATGGTCACCGCCATAGAGCTCGATCGTGCTTTGAGGTATTCGGGGTGCCAGACCTCGAACGTCTGCACTCTTCGCAAGCAGTCTTGGATAAGGATCATTCCACAACCGCTATTGGCCGCTCCAACGTTGACGTGGTAATGAAATTATCCAGATTGTCACCTCATCTGAAATTGGCACTGACAAGAAACTGTGCGAATTTTTCAAAGTAAAGATGTCAGCTGTACATGTAGAAGGCTTCCCTTAGAGCGCATACACGACTCTGGGCAAACAGTCCTGCGTGGTTTGCGCTACAAGTGGAACAACTTATCGCGTGAGGCTGGCGCCAACCAACTGTAATGGACGGCTATTATCTGCGACGTCATGTGCTCGAAAAATGAGGCTCGAAACCAGTATTACGAACTGTCTTCAAAAAATACAAAACTAAACAAACAACTCTTAGAAGAGGAGTATTTGGAACTTAATCCCCACCATTTGCCAGCGACAACAAAGCCATCTTCCGCTCTAAGGCCCTTCTGGGAAATAGGAAATGTTGGATTGGGTATACTGGCAATGCATTCATGAGATGGAAAACCGAAAATGTGCCCAACCATACCAACCGTTTTTCGTGAATGGCCCAAGGTATCTTCCTAATATGTCCCCGACTACAGAAATTTCGGACTCCACTTCCTCGTTAGAATATGATAATTTATCTGAACACTACAATAATGCTGCATGTTTGCTTTATCAGGCCAAATTTGATATCAGATCTCCTATTCTGTTCACTGCGGGCGGCCATTATCTGGTGTGACGGACACTTATAGGGCAGCGGGTAGTGGACACTGCATATCGAGTTAATTAACCACAACGATGGTCTGGTTCTATTGCTCAGAGCAAAGAAGATCGGTAAAGTATCTGACTAGTGCATTTAAAAACTTCGACCAATGTCCAGAGAAAAGTGAATTTACTCACTTGGCGAAGAATGGTCGAATACACGATCGGGGGTCGCATTTCAAAGATTTGGCTAGCTCAAGCATGAATTGCATGACAATGCACTGGTGAGATACGTGGTCCATTAGTTCAAATTTCTGCAGAAAAGTGCAAAAGGCTTGAAGTGTAAACGCTCGAAGACTAAAATACAAAATGTGGAGACTACGCAGGCTCTGTTAAAACCTAAACTGTTAACCTGGGAGGGAAGCTCACCTCCGCATAGGACAAAACCCGAAAATGTCTTTGGAATTAATGAAGTTGTCAAACTGGGACAGCAAATAGAAAATGCGATGCAAATTACCTCCTCCATGGCGAGGTCAAGACACCAAAGAACCAATTGGTTGGCTGTTTCCTCACAGACAAGATTTGGGTTCTCAACAAGGAACTTTTGAGTATCGACAGGTTTCCGAAACATGCCCAGCTTCTTTATTTCCTTATCATGTTTCTCTACAAAGGTCTTAAGACGATCAGCTGCATCCTCCTCGGATTTTTCTTCGTGTTGTAGTGTAGCAGCATTAATGATCTAAAAGTCAACAAAAAATGCGTAGAAACCCTTATCATTTGGTAGCCCGTGCGTGATCACATGAGCACAGGGAGGTACTTTTACATGAAAACGGGTTCTCAAGAGCAGTAGCGAATAATTACGAGACGCCTGACACCAGCTCCAAATGAGGATGTCCTGCTAAGAGTTAACGAGAGCGCTGTGAGACCTCAACACTGTCATTCGAGGACAGTTCTTTTGTGGAGCGACACAATTAACGGGGAAATTCTAAGGTAATGTCCGAGTTTTGCTTTTGTTAGGGATTCCAGATCAAACTTTGTTCAGGGTTCCGCAATGTTAGGGCCAAAGATCTTTAGGCAATTGTTGATGGACCTCGTGCTCGGTCCTCCACTGCATTTTAGAGATAAACCATCGGATAGTTTTTTTAATCTCCTCAGAACTGCGGACTGGGAGCAATTTAGTTTATACCAAAGTTTATAGGCACAGAGCGAAATATGATGTAGGAGCATGTGGGCCGAAGTCAATCAGCTACAGCGGGATAACCGCGTAATATTCCTTAGCGCTGACAGGCAGCTAATAGTATATTTAAGCGTAACACTAAAACCATCGGATAATGGGTCCAAGTTTACATGTCAGACATACGGGTGACGACAGTGACGAGGAATACATGTTACTGAAGTAAAGAGTGCTTCGGTGTCTGGGTGGGAAAAATGAACATGAAAAGTTCGACCAGCAAACATAAATTATCAGACGAGTGGGAATATAGGGTCTCCAACATATTGCGAGTGGCTGCAGCTGACCAGTAGTTACAGAAGACTGACGAAACCGCCTGAGCAGCATGGATGGTCCCCGCAGTTGCCTCTAGAAATCTTTGACGTGGTTAACAGAGTAAGTCCTATCTCTGACAGGGACTGTCGACTGATTTTAGTATTTTGTTGGCAGTAAACCATAAACGTGATTTCAAACGCTGTTAGCCGTTAATCAGGCAGGATCTCGGGAGCAATAATCCAATAGCCTAAAATTTCATCCAGACCTTCCTAATTCGCAGTATCTACTGGAAACCTGGCGGTGCGACAATTAGTCCGAACCTACTTTCTTGGGGCTCATAGCTTAGGGAAAGATGGTGGTGCAAATGGTGACAATAGCAAAAGCTTCAAAGGTGGCAGCGAAACCATGAGCTGCGGTAACAGAGTTGATGAAAGCTTTCCGTGTCTAGCTCTAAAATTACTAGTACGGCACATGAGTGCTTCCCTGTGGCAACAGGATTCTCGACGAATATTTCGATACCGATGGGCTCCAAAAATGGGCACTATTACAGAGTGAGATTCACATACATGATTAAGGGAGACAGGTATGGTTAAAGGACCCATAAGTTAGACAGCATAATGCTGGCATTTGACACTTACCGTTTTCGATTTCCCCTCCTTGCAAATCGTGTCAATGTTCAGGGGTCTCAGCTATGCATACATATAAGAAAACTTCAAAATGTGTACCCTTTCTTTCTTTGCCATTTCCTTTTGCCTCTCCTGCCATTTGGCATCCTCCACTTTTAGTTTATTTAACTTCTCTTCGAGCTCTTTGAGGTTAGGAGCATTGGCCTGACCGTTAGAAAACTGATCGAATATACCTTGACAGCTGCTTCGTACTCCTCTCGAGCTGACTGGTAGGCCTTAAGATGAGCTTTTAAGTCCTTTTCAAAGTCTTCCTTCTCCTTTTTCCAGGCAGTGTCCCGTTCAAGTCTAGCTTGATGGCGCCAACGGAAAAGACTGGGGGTATCTATATTCGGGTGAGTGTCGTCCTCGTCATCAGAAATCTGATATAGAATGTTAAGAGAGGCGGACTGTGTACCTCGATGTGATCCCATTTGCTGTAACTAAGCGTTGACATTTCTAGAAACTGAAGAACGACCTCAGCGTGTTTTATTCTGCGCGCTTCTAACTCGGTTAATTTCAAGTCACTCTGTGTGGTCAGGAGAAGGGAGTGAAAGATGAGATATTATGGTGCGTCTAAAAATTATTAACTTTCAATATTTTTTCTGATAAAATCCGCAGAGATGCAAACTTAGAGTCCGGGCACAGTAGGGCAGATAGTAGACGGAAGGAACTAGGCGGTCAAAGGAGTTCGGGCCGAGGCAACCACACTCTAACTATAAAATGGAGTCCGCAGTCAAAAATTAGAAGACTAGAGATATATCACGGTCACACGAACAAACTGTCGTCCTCTGAGGGGTTTTTATTCTTCGAGGTTTCCGTACTCTGGATGCTTCTGCAGCCAACTGGATTTTAAAAATTGAATTCCAAACAGCAATGTTCGCATCGTCGACAATTTACGACATCTTTTTTGCAGAACGTGAACTTCGACATTATCAGTTCTGCATGCGAACTCAGAAAGATCGATCTTCTAGCAAACGAAACGGTTAGAACATATTCTACAAAGGCTGGGTTTCACTCCGAAACTTAAACATTACCTGTACCCTTGTTTCAAAGCATTAGCTTACATTTCTGTTAACTGAAGTACCATTTAATCCGACTAGGTTTTTGCTGTCTGAAGTCCCGAGGTATTCGTACAGATTTCTGTTGTCTGAAGAATTCGGGCGTCTAAACGCCTTTGACCTTCTTTTGATTGCGTCTGCCTCCTTTTGTAGAATATTATATCCCGGACTCTAGCTCATAAAGATGTTGGAAATGCAGAAGTGTACGATCCATCAATTCCGCGGGATGAAAGAAGGGATCGGGGAGCGTGATCGATCCTCCAACCCCCCCCCCTTTCCCGCAGCGAACGCCTTAACCTGTCGTCCATCGACGTCGGTGAGATGGCCTCTACGAATATTAATTGCGTTTGCCCTGTAGTTGGAGGATATATCGGACTTGGCCACGAACATTGTGCACTTGCAACTCCATGTGTCCAGCATGGATTCACGTCGGGCAGGGAGGATCTAACGAATGCAATACCCGAGAAGTGGCTCAGAATAGGACAGATGTGCCCCGCGACGCAAATTCTCCACGACTACACAGGATTTTCTACCAGATGCCGAGCCTTAGATTTTTGTTCGCGGTGTAAATAATGTCGTGATTTTGCGTTAAACATTACATCGTTGGGGGGCGAATATGAACCTCCTCATAGATCTCATTGCATTGTTACTAAAGTATGATTAATTCAGTTCTATTGATGAATTCAGCAGCAGCCAAAAGATAGTTTCTAAACTGAGAGAGTTGACTAACAGCAACCCATGGATAGAAGGGTTACCGTTTCAGGAGATCGCTAGCTGCAGAAATAAAAAAATTGCAACGAGAAGAGGTAACGTCAACATGAACATACAGCCTCATCCTCACCAAGAGCGGTGGTAAACGACACTCCAAAATCACAAACTAAGTTGCGCTAGGCATAGCTTCTGAGATAATTACTAGATGGCGAAGATTAGCACCGATCTCCAACCGCGGGATGTAGGAGTACCTATAAAATGTATGTCGAGGAAAATCGTAATTATCAGCAGGATCATATGGGGTCGGCAGTCTGATATCACTGGGGATCTGGCCCAAGAGAAGAAAGTGAAACTAATTATAGGTAGGCCCGGCTGAAATGTTCAAATAATGCCGAGAAGTATGGAATCAGATATCTCTACAAAATCAGTTCAACAATAGCATTAATGGCTATATGAACCAGCATTTAGCCTAGTTTACCTCCTAAAAACGCAACAGTTGTGACTGGTAAATAGGGAAAGAACGAACGAGTCGACTGCATGCGAGACTAAACTTCTGTCTTTGAACATCGGCGAAAGAGCCAGGAGTCACTTGATCACGTCACATATTTTTCTTCCTGCTTCGAAAGCTCAGGAAGCTTGCTGATGATATATGCCTTTCAGTCACGACTACCCTATCCAACTATGCCCGTGGTTAGCTGATAGAAAGAAGGCACCTCCCGTTTCCCACTCATGTGTTCGCCAACTGCCCGCATACTTTCTCAATGCACAGCTAGGACTCCACCATGGGTCCGAAGGCCTGTGGTAGGTGTCCATTTCGATTTGCCGATACCGTCGGCGAGGTTGGCTGCCCATCCGCTAACAGTATTTTATATCAAGGCTGCATATTTTAAAAGCATTGACTGATCCCTGTACAGTCTCTGCCTATTTGTCCTAAAATTCACTCTAAAATATATTTTAAGCGCTATGTCAGTACTCTTAGGGATACTAAATAAAACACTTTATTTGTTGTCGAGTTTAGTGGGTGAGATCTTGGTTTCCGCCACCGTCTCGGCAAACTTTGGGAAATTGGATCCACTAAAGAGGCACACTGGCGGCTGGCTTTGTTTTGGACCAGTGACGGCATGCATCAAGTGTCTTCAAAAAATATTCCACGTGACTCTGTGTACATCGGTCCAATAGACATTCCTAGTGCGAATAAATGGGAAAATGTTGTTCTTATTCGCTTTGCCAATCGGTGCATACCCTTCTTCGTTCATCTTTGGACTTGCTTCGTTTTCCTTTTAACTGTTTATTTACCGAGTGCCGGGCAGCACACTGGCCAACGTTATGTTTTTGAGGAGCCATTTAGCAGTTTATTTTTGTTATTTAGTTCCAACAGGCAATGAACTTTTGTCATTCCTTATTCCGATTTTAACTTGCCCTCATCCCTTCTACAGACGTTATCCTCTTTTCGGCGGCATTAATAGTTGTGTTTTAACTTTCTCTTTGTTCTTCTTCAAACATTCATCTATATACCTCCTATAAGCACTCCAGTGCTTGCTTAGGTTTTAATGCCCTTCAAGATCTCCATATCAGTTAATCATGTAAGACAAGTACAGAATTTGCCCATAAATAAACCACTGTCCGACATCATGTTGGATTTTTGCTGAAGTCCGTGAGTGAGCAGAAACTACTCCAAACACTGAAGTGTTCAAAAGAATTCAATAATGTGGGTTGAGGCGTGAACCATCTGGGGAACGGAAACCCTGACAGCAGCTATAAGGGTTTAGAAAAAAACGGCCATACTTGAAATGTTGTGCGAAAACCAAAAGGCAGTATAAGACGTTTAAAACAGGTTGAATCAGGGGAGGTTCAGTGAGGTGATGGCGGATGGGGGAGGGGGGGGGTAGTGCAGAAGGCGAACAAGACCGATGCGCCGTTAAAAATTGCAACGACGTGCAAAAAGAACGGAAAATGTTAAAACCTCTGCTCAGTCGCGCCACGTCAGTCCGGCCAAGTCCACCAAGTGCCCACAACATTTACTTAAATGACTTTAAGCCAGTTTAGTTCACGAAAGATGTTTTTGCACATGACCTTTCTTCTTATATTCAGAAAAGTATAAAATAAAATCTAGAGTAGACGACTTGGAAAAATATCGCCATTGGTACGCTCGTGCGAGCTGCAAGCTGATACCACTGACAAAACTGCGTTTACATGCACAGAAATCGAAATACCTTAACTCAGTACGAAGGCCACATATCGACAGAGGGATCGATGGATACTCCAGCGACCCTATGCGATAGGACATTCTATAAGAGCTTTGTTTGCGTCAACTAACTCTTTATCTTAAAAGTGCCGCAATCAAACTGCCCGTTCAATCATTTTCCCCAGCGTTTTGAACTCTCTGATTTCCTAAATGAGACGAACGAACGAACTTGCTGTGGACTGAAAGCTTCTGTCACACATGTCTACTCGCTTTCATCGATCTAATGTATAGGTCCTTCACTTCAGATTCAAGTTGTATGTGTTATTGGCTTTCACCATTGAAAATGACCCCGGATCTTTGGTACATTCGTTAGACCTCATTTAGAACACGGAGTACCAGCATGGACGCCCTGAATGAAGAAAGACAGTGACCACATCGAGCAGGTGTAACGACGGGCGACAAAACTGGTGGATGATCTTAGGACTCTGCCATATACCGAAAGACCGAACGAGCTCAGTTTGTTCCCCCTATGCAATGGACGAAGGAGATGCAGCCTGCTGTGCAAGTTCCGCATTGGCCGCAGACATGAATGTCAGCTTAATTCTGAAGATTTCCTAGAGTTTGCAAACATGGGCAACCTGTGCTTTCAACCGCACGCGGTCAAACACACATATACGTGATGGACCAACAAAACTTTCATATTGGTTAACGGGCATTTCGACCGGAAAATTCACTCTTAACTGAAATAGTGATTTCTGATACTATGGTTCTGCTTAGAAGCCAGTTGGATTGTTTGATTTTTGATAGCCGACGACTCTATGGCCATTAATGAAATTTACCTACTGATTTCACTAGATATGCAGCGCACCCCAATACCTTTATATGCAGCATATTTTTAGAGGAGTAGACAAAACTCTTGTAAACCCTGTTGAGAACGTTACATGCGGCATTCAAGTTTTTTTTAAAATTCAGTCAGCAACATACACACTTTACAGAACATTATTGTAACAGCGTAAGACTGCAACCCGAGCACCCTTACTTTTTCTTTATGTCATGGGCCAAGTCCCGAATTGTGTTTTTTATGTACAGTTAATATTGTAGATGAAAGTATATACAGTCAGATTTGTATAGTTCAGTCATGAGTATGAGACCTTGGTGGAAGTCCAGTTAGGTCAACGGTACACCACCGAAAGCGTCAGTGGTCCGACATTCTTAGCATGTATGGTAATGTTTAACAGTTCCATACTCCTTACCAAACTGTTTCTATCGGCCATAGCGGCCAGCTTGCAAGTGACGTAAATTATGACTCCTCCTACTCGGTTTCGTCTGACTCGCCTGAACTGTCGATATACTCTAAGTGATATTTGTGAATTTGTGATATATTCTGTAGGCTAAATTTCTGTGAAAGACAGGTCTGACTGGATTTCATGAACTAAGTCTCTTAGTTCGTAGAGTTTGTTGAAGAGGATTTGTACATTTGCAGTAATATCCTTCAATGAT